GGGGGAGATTGCGTTCACTTTGTTGTCTCCTCCTCCTCCCAGCCAATGAGGAGGCGGCATACCTGTGAGCGCTCCCACCAGCCTAAGCCCCACTTGCAGGAATGTCAGCTCGCATCTATGCGCCTGTTGGTCCTCACAGCTTAGTTAGTTTACCGATGCAATGCAATCCGCTCGTGGTTAAGTATCAGGAAAAAAAAAAAAGCATGTATTTGGCCTAAAATGTCATCTTGCACCATTAGGATTGCCGAGTGTGATGGTGAGGAAGATGTTTTGCTTCTGCACAATGACGAGCTTGTTGAGGGCCTCGGTGGCACGTCTGCAAGTCAAGTGCGTGGCAGCAAGCCCAGGTAACACAAATCGTCCCACATGCAAGGACACGGCTCAAGCTCCCTGCTGGCCTCGACGGGTATCAGAAGCACTGTCTGATCTTCGCAACCCAAATATTTGGGCCCTCAACTTGCATTCATTCATTTACTTATCGTAGCTGTACTGATTCTAGTATGTGCATCTGTGTGTTAGATTCTTTTTTTTTTGGGGGGGGGGCAAACAGAATTCAGCTATCATATATTGCCCTGACAATGTAATCTGCCCTGGGCCTTTAGAATCAGTAACGTAGTGGTAGTCCAATTTTTGTCATGTTTAGCACGTGTTTCATAAGCATTCTCAAAGGACATTTGCTGTTTGGCTGGTGTTAGAGTTTCTAGTGACTTGACTGCCCTGTCCCCCCCCCCCCCTCGTTATGCTCCTCCTTGCTGCTTCTTCCACCTGCTCTACTCTTGCTTTCTTTCAACCTGCTCGTTTCTTTTGGCAATCTGCATGCTTAACCACCTCCTCCATGATATGTGAACAGTTTTCAGGCTAATGATCATCAAACGATGATCATTAATTAGCCTGAAAAGCGTGTGTGTGTGTATACGTGTATATATGTATATATATATATATATATATATATATATATATATAAGGACAACTAAAAACAGGACATAACTCAAATTTCCTGTGGACAAATACCATTCAAAATATCTGCTCATACAACCGGTTTTCAAGAAATGCAATATTGTGCTTCTACATCTTGCAGCCTATGTCAGTGACAGGTCACCACTCCTAATGATATGACACGTGTCTCCGCTTGGCTGCACACGGACGGAGCTAAACTGGGATGAGCCGCACTTGAAAGGACGTAATTGTATATCGGTTCAGCGGCTGGTTTTCAGATGCTTTCTAATCCGGAGAAGAACGACGATGACGATGTCGTATGCCCGATGAGGCTTCTGTCGTCAGGCCAGAGTCCAGAATTTCACATCAAATAGCCCAATTACAGGCCTGCAACTGAAACTCAGAACACCATTAAGACTGCGGTGCCAAATAATCTCAAAATGTCATTCAATGCTTCATTCATTGTCTTATCAAGATATTTTAGGTCGTTGTCAAGATGGAGAGTGGCTTCAATGGATTTGAGTCTAATCCGAGCAAGAAAAGTCAAGGAACAACTTTCTTCCACGTAAACTTCCTGTATCGGGTTGATGAACTCCCGAGTCTATGAGACTCGATTGTGTTTTACGTTGGGCTAATCAGCACATGTCACGCGATCCAGGACGTTCGGGAAGACGTCGAGCACAGACTTGGCAAACGAAAAAGGGACGCAAGTTTGTCCGGCCGAGAAGGCCACAGGCCTGAAATGCAAAGAGGAAAAGGGCGGGTCGTCTTGTTTCGGTTTTCTGATTGTGAGTGTTGTTCACAAGAAAGAAAAAGCTCTCATTAATGGAACTCTCCTCAAAGCCACCCTTCATTTTTCCTTTTCCTGCTCGGCTCACTTTCACTTGATCATTTTTGTCAACACTTTTTTTTTCCTCTTCTACTGGGGCAATCAAGTTGGCTTCCGCTCTTCGCCTTGATGAATCATTTGCGATGCATTTCAGCAGCGTGCATCTTTAGATTGTCTCCAACTGTATCTTTGATCTGTTGGGTGACAAATGACCTTCAAATCCTCTGAAGCAATTTTTTCCACGGTTGACCATTATTGATTTTGACCCTTGAATTTAAAGCAAAAAAAAATGATTGGAGGCCCAATTTTTGTGAGGGCATCTATGTTCAAGCACAAAAAAAAACAAAACAACCCAACACACTGCTATTAAGAACCAAATCTGTCCCACATGCTTGCAGGTGTCTTCTTCGCTCATCTGCTGTCGCTCGTACCCGTGACTTCACTACCCTGCGCTGAAATGAGGGCCCTGCTCCCGGCTGCTTCCTGTCTCACAAAAGGCGCCTCTGTTTCACCCCCTTACGTTTCCTCCGCTGGCACCCCT